TATTTATATATATTTTGGAAAATTAGACTTTTTATACGACTTTAGATATATACATGTATTGTTAAATTAACAGATCAACGAAAAACGTCTAGATTATACAAATCAAGATTTACTGACAGCACCATACATATTGAAAAAAAAAATTAAAATAATAATAACAATAAAATAAAATAAAATACAACAATAGAGCCTAAGTGTGTTTTTTTATTTACATTCAAAACACAAATGCATTCTACCGTGTGTGCAAAAAACACTAAGTGAATATTTCCAGCACTAGGTAGCCAATCATTTTCAGAAAACAAATTTGAAGCTCAACTACAATTGTGATTCCTGGAATGAAGCCCAAGATCTCTTTACCTGTTTGTTGTTATTTTGTTGTTATCTTCTTCGGTCTCTTATACTTATGAATTATGCATGTTCATCTGTGTAAGCAAAATAATCTTAAAACGTAACAACAATTCAAATTATAGTTAGGTTTCAATTATCGTTTTCTGTGTCTCTTCGGTTTGCAAGTACTCGCCATCTCAATGTAAGTACTTATTATCAGTTATTGTAAAACTTCGCAGCAATTTTAATTTTAAGGCAACTAAATGACAGCAAAAGAACTTCCAAGTTATTGCTATGCGTAGTTTCTCAGTATCTATGTAAAGTACAAAAAGTTTGCCTTTCAGATGAATGCAGCATCGTCATTCCTAAGAAGCAAGTGCAGCCACCATTGCGGCTATTAAAACAACAGTCTAGTCGGGTGTACTCGACTAATACAATGTCATTTAGATTTATTTCTACGTCGTATATTTACGTCTTAAATTTAATTTAACTTTTATTTATAAAGAATTACAGTCTGGTCATATACAAATGAATAACATCCAAAATTGTATTATTTATTTGAATATCTCAAAATATTGTAAATAACTATAATTTCATTCTTCTATCAATTGTTCTATGCTAAAATATACATACATTGAGATGAGTATGTAAAATGGAATTATTTCTGACCAAATTATATTATTGTAGGGACTTTTAAAATATATTAAACTTCAATAATTTTTTTTAGCAACGCCAGATCATTATACAAAGAAAAATAAGTCCAGGGTATTCAATATTCGACAACACGGTAAAAATTTTTATTTGCATTTAAGTGCACAGAGTATAAATGTTTTAAGTAATGTTCGCCGTATTATTTGCCGTACATCCGTCATGAACTCGAAAATAGCGAAACACTTAATTTTTTAGAGTCCTATGGTTAAATAATATATTTAAAGTTAGTTTACTTTAACTAGCTAAATGGGAAATGATGACGGCTACCCATTGATTTGGAAAAATATCTCCAAATTCTGTAGTCTGAACCAGTATTTGTAACTCCATTGGGTGTGAGGTCATAGTACGGACAAAGCCAAGTAGAGTATAAATTGTAATATATTAATAATACATTGGATTGGTGTGGTTAAGTAATGATTATCAACGGGATATTCGTCTAAATTGAACAGATTTTGATTAACATTATAATACATTTTCATTAACATAAAGGATGTTCTCATTAAAACTACTGCAATTTAAATTCTAGCAGTTGCAATTATAAATACTCTTGGTTGCTAATTTGTATTTTTCAGTTCCGCCAACTATAAAGGCTGTCAACCAATTAGTAGGAGCGCCGGTTGAACGGGAGGTAACATTAGAATGCATTGTGGAAGTTTATCCAAAACCACTAAACGGCTGGTACCGCAACGAAGGTATTTTTTTTTATTTAATTTTTGTACATAGTATTATTTATTGTAACATCAATCAGGTAGTTGACTTTTAATATACATTATTAATATTTAATATTTTAAATATTTACTTAACCGACAACGCTAGAAATTGATTTGATGTTTTAATTATTAGGGAAAATGCATCTAAAATGATATGTAACCGATTTATTGTAACTAATCAGTGATTTGTAGTATATTTTTCACCGGGCTAAAGTTGATCTATTTTTGTATTTTCATTATATAACTAAACTTATTAACACTTTCAGGAAATGTTAAGTTGCACAATAGCAACAAGTACAACATCTCGGAAGCGATGATTAATCTGTACATGTGGCACCTTAATTTGACAATACGACACCTGACGAAATCTGACTTTGGAGCTTATACCTGCTCTAGTGTAAATGCTCTAGGGAAGAGTGAGGCGCGAATTCGGCTGCAAGGTAAGATAAAATGAAACTTATTTCAAGTTCAATGCTGCCCATATGATTTTTTACCAATCAACCAGGCCCAAGCTAAGCCAAGCAGTTCTTTCAATTCGGAACCATCAATTCAGTGAAGAATGAATGTGTGTGTGTGAGTGTGCACATCGCATGTGTAATTCGTTCAGTTTCCTGGCAATAAATCACCTAGGATTTTCTTCGGTCTATTATTTTTATCGATCTCATTTAAAGGCGACTGAAGCATTTCTCTATCTTTCATCTACGCAGTGGGTGCACATCCTCATGCTCAGCATCAGCCTCAGTTTCAGTTTCAGTCTCAGTCTCAGTCTCACACGCTGTCCCAGTCGCAGTCACTGACTCCAATGCCAACGCAAAATAGAGCTAGAGCACTAAAACTAAGCATGAATTATTGCACAATCAGCGAAAAACTTTCTCTGTGCGCATTGCCACCATGGTTGGATCCAGCTCATAGGCGACATTTTAATTTACACTTAAAGGAGTACTGACATAAACCCAAGAATATCATACAGAAAATAAAAATTAGCTGAATATGTACATATTTGCACGTGTATATTGATTATACGTTCCATGTCAATATAGCTAATTTTTATAATTAATAAATTATTAATGTATTAACCTGAACAATTTTACCTTATTGAAAGTAAATGGGCACAGGGAATATTAATACTCCAAATATCTTTATGAGCTTTATCTGTAGCTCATTATACTCATTCACGAAAGTGAATCAGTATATTGGTTTTGTGCAATGTTCGTCTTGCTTTCCGTCCGTCTGTCCGTCTGTCCGTCCGTCTGTCCGTCCGTCCGTCCGTCAGTCCGTCCGTCCGTCCGTCCGTCTGTCCGTATGAACACAATCTATTTCGGCGCTTTTGAAGCTAGAGACTTGAAATTTGGAACATATACCCGTGTATATCTCCGATTTATAAAGTGTTAAAATTTTCCCGATCCGCCTACTAGAAATCATATTAATTGAAGAGCTAGAAAGCTGAAATTTGGAATATAGATCCGCATCGACCATCCAAGATCACGAGCTATGGCGGATGTATCTACGCCCATTGGGGGCGTGGAAAATCGGATAAAACGGTATCTTCAAGAGTTTTACAGCTAGAGCGCTGAAATTTTGCACGTCAGCTAATGTTATGATTCTATATAGTCAAAAGACAAAATTACAAATTACGCCCATTAGGTGCGTGGCAAATCGGACCTGAAGACATAGTGATTTTTTAAATTCTGCTATATTTTGGACACTATTGATGCCAGAGACCTCAAATTTTGTATATATACTCGGGCTGATCACCCAAGACTAACAAGCATTGTCGGATATATGTCCGCCCACAGGGGGCGTGGTAAACCGCAAAAGTTGATATCTCCTAAAGTATAATAGCTAGAAGTATAATAGCTTCAAATTTAGATAGTTAAGTTACCAGTAACCTCCTCTATCGATGACCCAAAAATAATTTTTACGCCTCGTTAAGGGCGTGGTATATCGAAAAATACCCAGTAATCTTCATAATTTTTGAGCGTAAGCATTCAAACTTTGCAGTTAGTATACCGTTATCACGTTCTAAAAACTGACTAAAAATTAGGGAAAACTGCATTTTCTACAGTATTAGAGCGAAACTTAACTACTAAATTGTTGATGGGATATGAATGAGTATTTCGCAGTCGGTAACGCCCGACGGCAACTTTCTTACTTGTTTTAATATCATTATATGACTTATAATTATAATTATAACATTATTCTTGATCAGGACGACAAGCTATTGACGTGCCCTTCGTCCGCTGGCAGTATTTATGAAAAAATATAGTTGTCAAACGATATATCATACAACTCGAGAGTAAATTATCAATTTTTTGTTGGTTTTTTTTTTTCATATAATATAATAATGTTTAGGTGAATTAGCTGCAAGCATATCCAATAAGTGAGAGCATTTTTCACATATTCATAGAATTTGTTGACCATATTCTTAAAATATTATTGAAATCCTGTAGAAACCTTACGTTACGTTGTAGAAACGTTAGCTTAATAATCTGCTGGAAAATAGGAAGGACGGAAAAAGCAATAATATGATATGATATATTATACATATAGTACACATAATGTATAGTATACATAATGTGTCTGATGTCCCCTGAAGAAAAGTAACACATGGAAAATTATTAAATTTAAGGGCTACTGAGTGCAACGTTCCACGTTGTTTAACCCTTGCCATTGGGTTTGTATTTGTAATTGTTGTTGCCTCACTGTTTTTTAAAGTCTATCTGCCATCCCATTGGGTTTGTTTTGCCCCTCGAACCATGCAAAGAAGCATTCGGCATTTCATAATTGGTGCAATTTCTTGCAGAATTACGATTACCGCCCAAGTCGACAACGACGCCAACACCTCACGTGCACACTACCACGAAGCCGCGTCGGAAGCAGCAGCCCAGCCACAACAAGGGACTGAACGAAGTGGTGCGTGCCAAGGAAACCCATTTCTCAAATCAAATGCAGCAAGAGAACGATGTATTCGGCAGCGGGATTGGTGTGCCCCAGAGTCCCAACGGCGGTGGTGGTGCCGGTGCCGGTGGTATTGTGGCAAGTGGAAACGTCAACGGCATGATAAACGGAGCGGAAGGTAAGTTACGATTTAGAAAATTCCACACAAATACATGCTGCAGCACAAGCATAGAATGAAGTCAGGCATAAGCGGTAGTTACAAACACTCACATCCACATCTACCGGACCAGGGGATACTCTCAGTCTGCATACACATGCGACTCCACCATCCATAGGGCACTTCTCTTCACCAAGGGACCATGACTTGGACAAATATAATGTCGCTGCACCAGGGCTGCCCTTTTAAGAAACTCTTGGTGGCTTGCCTTTACTTCTTCGATCTTTGCTCCTTCTCTACTAGGAACCAAAAGTACAACGGACAGCAAACCGCAACATACTCATTCTCCAATCCACTGGCACTAGCAGCAGTAGCAGAGTACACTCCCATCGGCCCATTCAAGAGTACGTGACCCCCTTTCAAGCCACTACGGGCTTACCCTGCCACCCACTTCTCTAGCAGTAGCAGCAGTAGTAGTCACCAGGACTTAGCACTCGTGCAGCTGTCGAGTGCACTGATTTATCAGTGAAACCGTATTTTGGTACAACTCAGTATATTCCAAATCTCTTTTGAAGTTAATTTTCCGGCAGTCAGTTTCAATTTCAAGTGTGCGTTTTCGTTCTAGTCCAACCTCCCTTCCACCCAACTACTTTCAACCGGAATTGGCTAATGTCAACTGAAACTAGCCAGTAAATATATTTCTAGGCAAAAACTATGATACATTATTTAGATAGAATAACCTTAATGGTGTAAGAGCTAAAATTTATTTCAATAATATCATTAAATATTTACACTTATGTAGTATATAGAGAAGAACACTGCAACCACTGAACCATTGCAATCTAAATAGAAAACTTGACCGACAAGTTTCTGCAAATTTTGTAAAAATGGTTAATAATAGAAGAACCCAAAATGTTTGGGCGAAAATAAACATTTTGTTCTATTTCATATTCTATATCTTTATATTTCTGAAACATTTTAAAAAATATTGTTTTATCTAAAAATAATTTGTAGTACATACGCAAGTTCCAACGCGCAATGGATACGAAAAAACAAATAAGTCGCCGGGTGCGGTACCATCGCATCGTCCGCCCTGGACTTACCCAAGTGCGGGGTCACAGCTGCTTGGCATAGCTACGACAACGACTAATGCCCAGATGGCTTTTTTCTGCTTATTGTCTATGTATTTAGTTAAGCTCATTTAAAATTATGATTCCAACTAAATCCAACACCAGACTGCAACCAGCAAGGATGGCAAGGAGACCACCAGCAGTAGGCGATAGTAGCAGAAGCAGAAGGTATCAGTTAACAGTGCACTATATTAGCTATGAAGAGAGAAAATGAAGTCGGTCTGGCCAAGGCCCATTAGAGGGTATCAATCCTCTGGCCGTCAAAGGGAAGCTTTATTTGCACTAGCACTTTTTTAACCTATCTATATATTTATGAAAGCCTTTCATAATGCTATCGAAACAACTAATCACATAACTAAGTATATTCAATCAAAATAGTTTTTCAAAATATTCTAAAGCAAGATCCGAAATAATAAAATAATATATAGAGAAATATATGTATCTTTTTTTCGCTAGTCACCTTTTTGTCTTTGAATTTGTAATTTTATTTATTTATTTA